TCTGGTCGGGCGTCTCGGAGGACAGGACCGGGCGTCACGGGTGTGCGGTCCTCTGTCCAGCCCCGTGTCCTGCGGTCAGGCCCCAGCAGACGCCACGGGGTGGGGGGGGGGGGGGTTCCCGGAAATGGAGAGCATCATTCTGTGAAGGACGAGGGGAGCCCGGCGGGGGTGAGCCCGCCCGTCCGTGCCCCGCCCGCCGCCGCCTGCAGGGGACGGGCCGGCAGGGCCAGGCCGGTGGCCGGGATGATGCCCAGAGGCCGTTGGCTTCAACACAAGACACATGGATATACTTTTCTGGTGGTGGTTCGGAAGTGACAAAATTGGTTCTGAAATAGATTCTTTCCCAGAATGGGAGGAAATGGTTCTGACAAGTCCGAGCACCGGAGAAGCCTGGGGGCGGCCCCCGTCCCACCCGGGCGTCCCTCCTCGGGGACACGCACCTGCCTGGGGCTGGGACTCCAGTGCGGACGGCGGAGGGGCGGTGCGTGTACTCAGAGGACGGGCCACACCGCTGTCACTCTCGCGTGTGGAGCCTTCTGAAGGTCCCCACGATACTCGCTCGGACCCGGGCGCTGTCTTTCGCGCTCCCCTGCTCTGCAGGTTACTGAACCCTCGTTGGCAGACGGCCAGGTCCCAGAAGCAGCGGCAGAAAGTGACCCTAATGGGTGTTGAGCGCCTTGGCGGCTCCTGACGCGACATGAATCAGCCTGAACATCTCAGGGTTGTTAAGAAAGTTACTGGAAACATTTTCACTGAATCGCTAAGTAATGCAGATTTGAATACGGCTTAGGTGGATCCTCAACCCAAACGGAGTGGGGAGCAGGCGGGAGCCCCCGGGCGCGGCAAGCAGGGACGTCTCCCTTGATGTGTTTTTGCCCCGGCAGAGATACTTCCATCATCCAGCGCCCAGCCCCGCCGTTGTGGGGCCCTCACGAAGGTCAGGCATGTGGCTTTCCGTCTGTAATTTGTTTAATTAGGGAAAGTTGTGTTTTAGGTGAGTCTTTTTTTTTTTTTTTTTTAATGAGGTTTTTTGCTTTTTCTTTTCTCATTGACTCATGTTTATTGACAGTGTTTGGTTTACGTAAAGTCCCCTCAGCAGTTCCACAGCCCAGGCCCATTGTCTGCTACTCCTGGTCTCTTCCAGATCCTTCTAGAAGACGGCGCTCCGGGGGGGGCACACAGGTCAGACCGGCCGCGCCCCCACCCGCTGTTTCACCCAGCCTGTGACCCCCCGCACGCCTTCACCGGCTGTGCAGTCAGAACCTGGGGCCCAGGCACCTGCTGGCGGGGCTGGGGGGGTGGGGCCCAGTCCTGCTCGGCTGTTTGGTAGGATTTGTTTTTTAACTCTTTGATTACCTTCTTGCCAACAAATGTTAGCTCAATTGTGGGCTCAACCTTCCCTCTTTTTTATGTTTATTTTTAATTTTTTAAGGAACCTCTGCCCCCAACAAGAGGCTCAAACTGACGACTACGAGATGGAGAGGTGTTGACTGCACTCACTGAGCCAGCCGGGTGCCCCAACTCTTAAACTGTGGATGCACCGTTTTACTTTTTTTTTTTTTTTAATTTTTAAAAATTTCCTTCTGAGAGAGAGTGAAAACGAGTTGAGGAAGGGCAGAGGGAGGGAGAAAGAATCCCAGGCAGGCTCGCATGCTCACCGCAGAGCCCGATGTGGGGCTCAATCTCGCGGCCCTGGGATCCTGAGCTGAGCCCAAATCAAGGGTCGGCCGCTCACCTCACTGGGACGCCCGGGGAACCCCACCCATAGTGCTCTTTTAACCGGGTCAGGGAATACAGGGATTGGTCCATTAAACTTCTTTTGAGGTCCAGACAGCCTGGGAGCTGGTGGGGGGCCCATCACAAGGGACACCACTTCCTTGGTGGTGACCCAGCACGTGGCTTTGTGACACACATTTGTATTTGTGGCGTTTAACATTCCCCCTCAGCCCCGCGCCCGGTGCTCTGTCTGCTGGAGGCGGTGATTCCCTTTGAAATGAAAACACGTTCCTCACCGAACGCTGGGATGTCATGTGCGTCACGGGTCCGAGGGCTCTACGGCAGGGCCCAAGGGCCCACGGTCCGTGTGGGTGTGAGCGCCCCAGCCACAGGGGGGCCAGGGCCTGGGGGCCTCGTCCACTGGGAGGGTCTGGCGAGGTGCCCCTGTCGTCGGGACGTTGCCACCCGGAGGACAGAATGTCGAGACCGCGCTGGTCCTGGGAGCCCTTGGACCTGAGCCCACAGGCGGGCCGCACAGTCCGAGCTGCTCCAGGGAAGGCAGAGCCCCTCATGCCTGTGGCTCAGGGCTCGCTGGGGGCCCCCAGGGGTGTCTGGCCCCCCCCGAAGGCCAGAGGGGGCCGAGACCACAGGAGAGTAGCAGCGTGGCTTTCTCGGTGGTCTGGGAAAGTGTGTGTCTGGACAGGTGTGACGGCGGCGCGGGCAGGTGGCGCCCAGGGCGCGGACGCGGGCAGGGATGGGACGTCTGCAGACCTGCGCTCACTGCCCTGCGGGCGGGGGCTGCAGGCGCCCAGAGAGGTGTGTGCGGCCAGTGCCAGCGGTTGTGGGATCGGCGCTGCTGGCTGGGCGCCTGTGGCAGCCCAGGAGGCAGGGGCTCCGTGGCCGGCAGCGAGCCGGGTGCTGGGGACCAGGACAGCTGAGCGTGTCTTTCACTCACACTCAATTTTGCAATATGCCAAACACACTAACGTCGTTTCTTGACGTCTGATTACTAACACTCCTGTCCTCTGAGTGTGTAAAACGGACTCACGCTCTCCTCGCTGATATTCTGCTTACTGATAACGATACTAATACGCGGGGAAACGTGTTTAGTACACGAGAAGGCGTGTGGCTGCGAACAAACGTTTTCTGCTGAGGTGGATCTTTCTGCTGAGACCCCGTTCCGTGCGGAATGGCCCGGGTGTTGGCGCCCCTGCCGCCCCTGCCTCGTCCTGTCTGCTGAGGATTTAGGGTCTGGGTTGGGCCCTCCTCCTGGGGGCTTGTCCCCTCGCGCCTGCCGGGCCCCTCCCCCTGATGATGTCCCCCTCAGGCACCTGTGTGGCGGTTTGCCGGGTCCGGGTGTGGGGATGTGCACACGTGTCCCCGGGGGACACGGCTGCCATGCCACTTCTTCCTCAGGAACCGTGACCTTCTCCGGGAAGTTCCTTTCCAGGGTTGTAACTTCTTGATTTTTACCAAGACTGTAATCGTATTTGTAACTTTTGATTGCAGTTCCTGTGTTCAGGTGTCAGTGGCCATGTGGGGAGCACGGGACACGGTCCCAGGGCAGGCGGCCCGCGTGGGCCCGGCTCCCCACCTTCTGCCCTGGGGAGACGAGGGGCTGGTCTTTTCCCCGCCTTCCGTGTCCCGGGTCCTGCTTGCCCGCAGGGCCGTGGGAGCAGGTGGGGACCGAGACGGGAGGTGGGCGGCAGGGTGGCTGGGCCGTCCGGACGGGATTGCGTCCTGTCGCTCCCAGCGTCTGGTGTCCCCAGGGGCAGTGCTGCTGTCTCCCCCTCGGCACAGCTCTGCCCACGCTGCCTCCGCCAGGGCGTCTTAGCACCGCTGCCCGCCGAGCACCTGGGGTGCTCTCTCGGAAAGGGGGTGGGCCTGCGCGCTCTCCCCAGGCCACCTGTGAGGGGCCTGGAGGAAGAGAGGCCATTTGGGGAATAGCAAGCAGGTTTTCACGGGGGGCATTCAGAGCAAGAAGGCAAGAACTTCTTGGTAGCAAGGACGTCAAGAGCCTGGGTCTCCAGAGAGCGTGGTTGAATGGCTCCTTCTGGAAAAAATAGGAACAGCTGTAGACCCTTCCCTATTTAGGGTGCTAGACTGCTTCCCGTGAGCAAATACGATGGGGTTCGAACCTGTACTTTGAGGCCCTTGATTCTCCAAGGTCGGTCCGCGTGGGTCTCTGAAACACAGCACAGGGGCGGCACCCTCGTCGAAGGGAGTGTCTTCCAGGCAGCAGTGCCCTTAAACCAGGGGACGGTGTAGGGTTCCATGTGTGCGTTTCCATTATTCAGAGACTGTGCAGTACTCCTCTCCAGGCCAACAATAATGAGGCACCAAGATGTGGCTCCAGAAATGTGGCTTTCCTATTAAAAATGACTAATTACGCTGGTAATGATTTTTTAGAAACGTTTTTCATTGAAGTTATAATTAGCATATCATGATTCTTAAATACAGCTATGTGCCACTGTCATCTGCTTCCCAGGCCATGAGAGACCCCAGAAAAGGTTTCTGTCGGATCCTTGGGTGTTACGTCTGTAGCCAGCAGTTAGGACACTTGACAGCGATTAGCTCATTGCATCTCTTTACATGTCCAGGTTCCTATAGCTAAAACCCACCCACCCTTCCACCCACCCACATTTCCATCCACCCATCCATCCATCCGTTTGACAAACTGAGGACCTCATCTGTGCCAGGTACAGTCATAGGCTCCGAAGACAGCCACGAAGCAAGCTAAAGCAAAGCAGGCAAGGGGTCCTGCTGTCATGGAACTTAGTTCCATCTGATCAAAGAGGTGATGACCGAGATGATGTTAAGTGCCGAGGAAAAGAGATCGACTGGGGTGTCTGCATGGAGAGCGGTTGGGCCGGGGACCGAAACCTGGGGGGGGGGGGGGGGGGGGGGGGGGGCGTTTGCGTGGAGAGCGGAAGGGAGGGGGGAGCGGACAGCTCTCTGCGGGCAGGAACTTGGGGCAGAGGACGGCCAGTAGGAGTGTGAAGGCGGTGTGAGGTGCAGTGGGTGCCCTCGTGCTGCAGGGCGGAGAAGGGAGGGGAGGCGGGGTTGGTGCCCGGGGTCCGGCCCGGGGCTGCGCGGCGCTGACGGGCTCGCCAAGCTGTGCGCGTGCTTTCTGACGACCGGCCCCTCACGCCGTCTTCTTCTCTGGCCCCTTTCTAGAGCACTACAGTTATGCACCCCCCAGCATCAGCACCGCTCTGCCTCCTGGCTCGGCTCACCCCTCGCTGCCGGCTCTGTGCCACGACCTGCAGAGTGCCGCCCCGGGCATGCCGGGCGCTGCGGCCGGCCAGCCCCCGGGCTACGGGGGGGCTGTGGACAGCGGGCCCTCCAGCTACCTCCTGTCCTCCAGCCACATCCGGCCCAACGGAGCCCCCGCCCTGGAGAGCCCCCGCATCGAGATCACCTCGTACATGGGACTGCACCATGGCAACAACCAGTTCTTCCACGACGTGGAGGCGGGAGACGTCATTCCCAGCTCCAAGCGGCCCCCCTCGACGGCCACCCTGAATCTGCCCAACCTGGAGGCCTACCGGGACCCCTCGTGCCTGAGCCCGGCCAGCAGCCTGTCTTCCCGCAGCTGCAACTCTGAGGCCTCGTCCTACGAGTCCAACTTTTCGTACCCCTACGCGTCCCCGCAGACGTCCCCGTGGCAGTCGCCCTGCGTGTCCCCCAAGACCACAGACCCCGAGGAGGGCTTCCCCCGCGGCCTGGGCGCCTGCGGCCTGCTGGGGTCCCCCAGACACTCGCCCTCCACTTCGCCCCGCACGAGCGTCACGGAAGAGAGCTGGCTGGGGGCCCGCACGTCCCGGCCGTCGTCCCCCTGCAACAAGAGGAAGTACGGCCTCAACGGCCGGCAGCTCTCTTGCTCCCCGCACCACTCGCCCACGCCGTCCCCGCGCAGCTCGCCGCGGGTCAGCGTCACCGACGACACCTGGCTGGGCAACAGCACGCAGTACACCAGCTCCGCCATCGTGGCCGCCATCAACGCCCTGAGCACCGACAGCACCCTGGAGCTGGGCGACGGCGTCCCCGTGAAGGCGCGCAAGACCGCCCTGGACCGCTGTCCCTCGGTGGCGCTCAAGGTGGAGCCGGCCGGCGAGGACCTGGGGGCCACGCCGCCCACGTCTGAGTTCCTGCCCGAGGAGGTCCCCCCCTTCCAGCACATCCGGAAGGGCGCCTTCTGCGACCAGTACCTGTCGGTGCCGCAGCACCCCTACCAGTGGGCCAGGCCCAGGTCCCCGACATCCTACACCAGGTGAGCGGGGGTCGGGGGCGTGCAGGGTCCGCGGGCGGCGCAGGCGGCTCCTCGCGGCCTGGTGGCTGCCGGTCGGGATCCGGGTGCCCGCGGGGCCGCTGCCTTCTGGCGCTTTCCGGGACGCCCACGCGGCCCGCGGCAGCCTCAGGTCTGCCCTTAGGAGCATCACGCGTTCCCTGGGCCTCAGCGCCCTTCTCCCCGCGTGGCCGTATTCAAATCTGCTTCTTGTGAGGACGCCCTCAAACCTCGTCTTCACTTAATTATCTCATTAAAGGCCCCGTGTCCCAACAAGGCCACGTTCTGAACTGCTGGGGGGGGGGGCTCCCGCACGTGCGTTCAGGTGGGGACCCGCCGGCCGTAAGGAGGGCGCACACGTGTGCGCTCAGCATTTTTTCCATAGAACCAAACGGTCCCCGTCTGTGCGCTTCCCTCCGCTGCTCACCCGCTCCCGTTCTCCCGCCTAATTGCCATCGCGGCGTCGCTGCAGCTGGGGCCTCGGCGCCGCGATTCCCCAGAGCCGCAAACCCCGCTCCCCGGGGTCCTCGGAGAACGGCACGGCCTCCCGTCCCGGGAGAGCGGCGCCCGCTCCCCGCAGTCTGGCGACGGGAGCTCAGGCGAGCGTCTCGGGCTGTTGATTTTACTCCTCAGCGGCGTGCGGGCTGCGCCACTCCGCCGGGTCCACTTATCCAGCCCGGCGTTTTTATTTTTAACTAAATAGCCTTCCCGACAGGTGGGCCACTAATGCCGCCTGGCAGAGTGCTTTCTGCACCTCGAGCTTTACCAGCACGGAGACGGGCTTCCCTCGCAGCGCGGGGCGCCTCCCTGGACGCCCCCGTGTGTCCCGTGTCCTGGGCTCGCTGTCCCGTTTCTTCCGTCCCTGTTCTGTGGGAGGGCGTTCCGGGAGCGACACTGGGGAGCGGCACCCACTGGCTCCGGCGAGCGCGTCCGCAGCATCGTTTGATTCAGAATCTGCTCTGCTCAGAGCCCGTGCCCACAGCGAGAGCCCGGGGCGCGGCCGCAAGGGGTGATGGGCTCGTGGGTGTCTGGCGAATCCGGCTGAGCCTGGAGAAAGTTTGTGGTGGGAAACCAACATGACATTGACTGGATTCTTTTTTTTAATGTGTATTTATTTATTTTGAGAGAGAGAGAGAGAGCGCGCATGCGTGAGCGAGCATGGGGGGAGGGGCAGAGAGAGGGAGAGAGAGACCCCATCCTGAGCGGGCTCCGCACTGACAGCCTGACGCGGGGCTCGATTTCAGGATCCGAGGGATCATGACCTGGGCTGAACCGACCGAGCCCCCAGGCGCCCTGTTGACTGATGGCCTGTAGAGCATTTAGCTGGTGGATGCTGCCTTCCTGCCAGCGTGCTGTTTAGGGTAGGAGTCGGTGACGAGAAAACAGGAAAGCTCAAATCACCACGGACTTTTCTTGACTCGTGTCATTTCTATACCAGCTTCTACTTTGCACGGTAGGAAGCTTAACGAGCGGACGTATTCAAAGTTATCATCAAAACAAATGTATTTCAGCACCTGGATTTAATTCGTAAACATGGGAGTTTTTTTTTTTTTTTCCAACGTTTATTTATTTTTGGGACAGAGAGAGACAGAGCATGAACGGGGGAGGGGCAGAGAGAGAGGGAGACACAGCATCGGAAACAGGCTCCAGGCTCTGAGCCATCAGCCCAGAGCCCGACGCGGGGCTCGAACTCCCGGACCGCGAGATCGTGACCTGGCTGAAGGTGGACGCTTAACCGACTGCGCCACCCAGGTGCCCCAACATGGGAGTTTTAAAAATCCATTTGGAGGCGTTTAAAAATTTTTAAGAACCTTTTATGCCTGCTGTCCTCTCTATAATTTTCGAGTAAAAATAAGACTATTTCCAAGCCAACGGCCATAAGCACACAGGCTCACAAATTACAGTCTCCGTGGACCCTGAAGGCCACGGTCTCTCACTGGACTCCTTGGGCCAAGGCCACAAGCATGAAGGAAACCGTGGCTCAGGGTGAAGCGTGACGTGTCGGTGACCCTGTGTGCTGGTCTGTGCCCTGGCGGCATAGGCGACAGACATTTGTTTCCCGGGGTCAGAGGTCAGGGCGCCAGCGGGTTGGCTCCTGAGGCCCGTCTTCTTGGCTTGTGTCTGTCCAGGTGTCCCCTAGTTACAAGGACACCAGCCACTGGACCAGGGCCCACCCGGTGACCTCACTGTAACGTGACCCCATGTGCAAACACAGTCACATTCTGAGGTCCTGGGGCTAAGACTCCGGCCCAGGAATTGGGGGGGGGGGGGATGCAGTTGAGCCCAGAGCACCCGACGTGGCCTCCGCGTGAGGACGGCAGGACGCCCTCGACGATGGCTCCCCCTTGGAGGCTCGCTCAGCTGCGGGGCGTCTGCAGGAACGCGGGTGTCCCTGGCAGGTTGCTGTGGGTGCGGACCAGAGGAGTCTGTCCGTCTTGTCTGTGCTCAGGGCCCCGCGACGTGCCCCTGTCACAGCGCCCGGTTGGGAGCAGGGGAGGGCGCCTGGAGTTCCTATGAGCTCGGCGAGCAAACACGGCACGTGGGGGGAGGGTGGAAGCTAACCTTTCCCCCTGTTTTGGTTTCACAGTGAAATATGTTTCCTGGTCCCTTGTCCTGTTCCCATGCTGTCCTGTCGGCTGGTGCCCCAGGGCAGCCGGGCCACAGGGACAGGCCGTCGTACCCGTGGGAGAGGGTGGCCGCATCAGGCTTCCTGTCCCACTCTGGCCAGCGCCTGGGACGTCAGCGGGGTCTCGGCTGTGCAGCCCCGGGGCCGAGTTTGTAACGGTCTCTGGAGTCTGGGATGTGGAGAATTCATCACAACAGATGTGCTGGGTGCACTTTTAATCCCATCCTGCCTGGAAAAGGAGCTTTTTAATGAAAAGTGTGCAACGCTAGCCTTTCCCAAGAAGTCTGGATGCTGTGGGATTCTCTCCCTTTTGAGGTCTTTTGTCCGTACATTTATGGCGACCCCTCTGTGCAGAGTGTCCTGATAGGCCCACGGCAGTCAGAAAGGATACTTGGTTCTTGCTACACTTGAAGACATTGTGAAACTAACCATAGTGTTTCATAGAACTTCATTGCTTTATAGTTTTGACATGTTTTAGAGTTTAACAGAACACACTTCTGTCCTCAGAGCTTGGGAAATACACAGAAACTGCATCAATGTGTCTGAGTCCCTCTAAAATCTAGAATTTTCTAAGTCTTAGAGGCAGGCTGTGAGCCTCTTCAGAAAGGAGAGGGTGTTTGCAGTGATGATGCCAGTGATAACCGCTTCCCAGGGCAGCCTAGACTCCATTGCTGAGGCAGCTGGTGTGTGTGCAGAGGCTGGGGGGGGAGGGGGCGG